ACTAAGTTTATCAAATATTAATGATATAAAGTGCGAGTATTTACGGATCCGGTAGAAAATTGAGTACGAAGACAAGTAACGAGACGGGTAGTGAAAAAAAAATGATACTTTTTACCCGACCCTTATCCGCGGATATCAAAATTATAGTACTTTTTATACGACTCGAATGTTACGCATACCCTATTTTTGGAGACGAGTACGAGCCGGGTAATGGGTAAAGAACGGGTAACGGGTATCTGTGCCCAGCTCTAACAAAGATACAGTTAAATCAAATGGAATTTTCATTTATTTTCAAAAAAAAAAAATTGTAATCATAAAAATATTTATTTTAAATTATGACCTGGTAAAATTTATTTCTAGATTCGCCACTGGTTATTGTGACACCGTCTAAGCAGCATTTGTTATCTCCAACCCACTTCTATTTCTTCCTCTATTTAATAGAACAAAATATTGCATTTCTCTATTTTTCCTCCAACCAACCTCTATTTTCATCTCTAAAATGAAGATTGCTATTTTTATCTCAAAATATAGAGGAAGAAATAGAGATTTTTTTTTGTTTTATTCATACTTTCTCTAAAATAGAGAAAAAAAATAGCAATTCTCTATAAGACCATCTCTAATGTATATCTCTATTTTTATCTCTAAAATAGAGAAAATTATAACATTTTTCTATTTCTTCTCTAATGTATCTCTATTTTAGAGAAATTGCTATAATATAGAGGAAAAAATAGCAATTCCCTACTTTTGCCTCTATATATAGAGAAATACTATAATTTTCTCTATTTTAGAAATAAAAATAGAAGTGAGTTAGAGTAAATTATATTTTAAAATAGAGTTTAAGGGAAAAATAGAGAAAGGTCGGAGATCCTATTGGAGAAAAATTAGAAAATTGTTATATTTTATTTTGTTTTAGAATAAAAAATAGAAAAATACATTGCAAATGGTCTTACAAACAAAGTGTGTTTTGGTTTTAACGGGTACGCTCGTTTCCTTTTCAGGGGAAAAAACGAATCCATAAAAAATAATAAAATATTCAACCCGAAACATTTGACTTTTACAGAGCGTTGACAGTTCTTCAAGCATCTGATTCGGTCGACGCGCGTTGAAAAGGCCTAACGAAAGCCCAATAATAATAATGATAAATTGATAACCACATAAGACTTTAAAAAGTGGGCCCATAATATTTTAATTCTCCCAACAACAAATTGTACAAAATCAAGAAAGTTTCGCCGTCACCCGCCAAAACGGATAAGTTTAATCACAGACGTTGGG